AATTTTTTTTTGGTTACTTTGTAGAGTCATTAGCGTTTCTAGAAGCAGAATACGTGAAAAATGTGCAATACCCTCGCCGGGACTCCAATCCTGGACCTTTCTAATACGCGTCGAGTATGCTTCCGACTATACCACGAAGGCATGTGGAAAGGAAGGACTTCTATATACTTCCCCTTTTAAAGAGTGACTGGGGATTAGGAGACCCAATTGCCCAAATCTTGGTTGTGACGAATTATCGTTCACCATCTTTTAGTTCGGGAGCCACTGTAGAATCATTAGGTTTTTTTTTTTTTTTTTTTTTTTTTTTTGAAGCAGGAGGCTTGAAAAATGTGCAGTGCCCTCCCGGGGCTCGAACCCTGGACTTCCCGAATATGCGCCGAGTATGCTTTTAATTACAACACGAAGGCATGTGGAAAGGAGGGGAAAAATACCTTATAATCCTTTTCGTCTACTTTTTTAAAAAGATAAATTTACATTAAAGTCTTTCTCGAAATGCATAGAACTTTCCAAATGAATATCACTTTCTGGTCTGAACTTTAATTTTAGACTTAAAACTGTAATGCTTTCCTTGCGTGCATAAGCCGCCTAGCGTTAAAATCGCTGAGCACTGGGAGTCCGAGCTGGGTCTGATTCCAGGCGAACGGGCTGACTGCACGAGAATTTTCGTAATTTTTTCCGTGTGTAACATGGATACGAGACAGTTAAAGGCGAATCGCCCTTGAATTCTTCGTCATAATGAAATATGGCTTGCGTGTATAATTAAGGCCGGCTTTTGAAAATTACTGTAATTCTGTATTCCATTCAAAAAATGGCGAGAAAACAGAATGTATTGGCGATAAAATTAAAGAAGAAATCCGAGCTCTCTATACAATTAAGAGGTTAAAAATCTGGATAAATATCTGAAAAATTGTTGATGTATTTGAAGTGACTGCATTTCGATCTGTTAATGGTCAGAGCAGTTTCAGAATTATATAATGAAAAATATCTGATGTGGACACCAGGTGACTTCTTATACGGTGACTCTCTATTAAATTACATATATTTTTTTGGCATTTCATTTAAACTTATTTTCCCGAATTTCATTAAAAAATATTTTTCATTCGAGGAATTCAGTTCTAACTACGCGGGAAGGCAAAAATACATAAAAACTTAAAGCATCTTCACTAAAAATTGAAAATACAGAAAAATATAAAACACCAAATGCAATTAAAAACAGTCAAAAAACAATTTTTACAATTAAAATTAGAGTTTGTATGAGAAATAAAGCAATTCGACCAGCGGGGTGGAAGACAGATTTTTCGGTGCACAAAATTGATAATTTACTTTTCATCCCACTCGGTAGAAAGACACTGAAGTTGGGGCCCAAACAACCTTAATTCATAATTCTACTAAGAGTTTCAAATATAAACAGATGGAGGCCTCGTTAGGCCTAGCACCACTTAAACTTTTAATTTGTTGATAATTCTACAACTATTGCATGCTGATTAACTAAAAGCATAAAAACCTTAACCAGAATATAAGAATAACACAGTTCAATCACTTTGAAAACAAAAAAATGCACAATTTAACTGCATATGAGCATAAAAAAACTGATCTCACCGAGCAGGGTACAGATTGGATAGATATTACACATATATATATGTTTGGTGCTGCCAATTGTAACCAAAACGAGAGGTGCACAACTACGTGTTATAACATTCTCATATACAAAATTTCAACGTTCTAAGGATAGTCTTTTTGAGTTAGGCAAGATACGTACGAGATACGCAAATACATACCTACGTTCGTACTTACGTACAGATGTCATTTTACATTTCGTTTTGCAAAAAAGAGTCCTTTATTCTGTCCGCACGTAGAGATGTTACTCACAAATTTTGTTCAAATGGATTCGAGAGCAGTCAAAAGGGATATTATCGTTGAAAATGATATCCGAAAATTTTCGCGATTATAATACTTCCTTTACTTCGCAAGAGGAAGCAAAAATGCTATGTTTAATAAATACAGTCATTACATACATCTCTTAATTTAGCGATGAATTTTATTGAATCAAAAATTGCTGCGTGTGATATAATATTTCATCACAAAAGCAGGAAAGCTTAAAAACTGCGATTTGTCATTTCAATGATCCTCATTTCCTTAAACATTTTTGTAGTAAATTTATGTTTTTGGGTTATAAGAGGACGAATTTTTGAATTATTTAGATTTTTATACCGATAGATCTAAATTAATATTCTTGTGTTACGGGTTTATTGTTATCTAATTAAATGCTTAAAAAAAGAGATAAAATCTAAAATCGATTTGAAAAGTTTTGCACAATTTTTAATGCATATTAAATCGGTTAATAGCATTCAGATGATCTATATATCAATTACAGATATGGTTGTTTTAAAGCAATAAAATTGAATAAAGTCTCTGAAGTCATGATTTGCTTATTTGCCCTTTATGTATAATTCGCTTTTTTACCTTTTTTATCCTTTATTATGAGCATTATTTTACCTTTTACGGCTGGCATCATGCAAAGCGTAAAATAATACTGAAAGCAGTCATACGTTAATATATCGTTCATGCGAGAATAATTTGTTTCGGTAAGGAAATAACGCAATTTTTTTATTAATACCGTGACCATGTTGCATACTATGAACTAATTTTATTGATTAAATGAATAACATTAATATTGTGTAGGAAGGAACTACGTGTTAAGGACATTTATAACCATTAGAAAGCAAGGGAATAGAGAATTAAATGAATATTGAAATTGAAAATATCTGCTGGACATATTTTTAACACCAATTAAGCATTTCTTCTTCCAGAGAAAATGTTAAATTTAAAGTATATCTGCAGAAAATAGTTGCATTGCAGATCGCACTTCATCTTATAGTAGTATGCAAGTTTGATTTAGAACACAAAATTAGTATGCTTCGGTCAAGAGCTTAACTTGAGATATAATAAATATATTATTAATAATTTAGAGGCGAAATTTTGTATTTTAACTAAATTGTTATCATTGGTGAATACGTGTCTTGATTGAAGAAACAGTTTATATACTTAAATATTTGTGAAGTACAAGAATAGATGAGTTCTGTGGTTTTAAATATTAACTCGGATCTTTTGTGCACTAAATTAACGTAATAAATGTGGAAATCAGATCCTCTATGGCGTAGAGAGCATATATTCTTAAGCTAAAGTAATTTTAAATTTATTAAAAGTTGCTTTAGCTATATTCATAAAAAGAGAATTTCACCTTTCGTCGGCTTTCGCTAGGATGTAAATTAGTGAACATGATTCTTAAGTACGGTAAGCGAGACCTTTTGGCAGTGACCGCTGACCTTCACCAGTTTTCTCCCAGCTTTACTTGAATCGGCTTTAACCTTTTATTAACCGGCTTTAATCCGTGTTTTTCTCGCCTGATTAGAGGGTCTAAGCCAAAGCTTTCAGCTGGGCCTTACCGTGTAAATTTCATACTTAAATTACTTAAGTTTTGACTTTTATGTTCTGCTAAGTCTCGCAAGATGCTGTAACTTTGCCTGTTAATTACAAGAGCTATGTAAGGAGTTATATTGCTATAAAAAGTGTTATTTTAAATTTTCTTCTAAGTTTGGAATTATTTTCACTGCAGACTAAGACGGGGCGCTTGACTGTATAACCGGAGGTACATTTTTGATTTGAAATATTACATAGATTCCGTACAAGATCAGTTCTAAATATGAAAATCGATTGAAGTAATACGATCTTTTCTAGTAAATCACACTAAAGTCTTGAAATAAATCTTTATTATAGTAGCATTCCTAAAAAATTATTTATCAAAGCCTCAGATAAAACGCGGAAGGCACATTAGTGGCACAGACTGCAAGACTCTAAATTTTGATAGTTGGACCCGGATTCATATCCAAGATAATGAGCTGACTGCATGCGGTTTCTGTGGTTTTCTCTATGGAACGTAAAAACGAACATGTTTTTAGAAAATCTTTCCGGAAAAGTATCGTCCCCTTAGACAGAATGCTATCATCAATATGTATTCGCCAATTGATGTAACTATAATATTTAAATAATTTTATATTCAAACAAGAAATGACAGGGGGTACTAAACTAATATCCGTTATCCGCGAGACGGCCTACTGATAGCAGGAAGAGTAAGACTAATGAGCATTGGTGTTTCCAATATTTATGGTTTTCCCATTAATTGTGGAAATATCAGTCAATTTTTTTTAGAAAATCTTCAAGTCCTTCACAAAGGTATTTTCGCTCATTGACAGATTACTTCCGAATATTTTGATATTATCAATTATATAATTATAAAATTTCCAGTCGTGTTTTCCTTAGATAAGATAGGTTTTGCCGTAGTGGCGTCTTTGTTTAAGATTTTAATGAGCAAATGCTTTTCAGATTTATGCATTTTCAAAGCTATCTCGAAAAATTTAACAAAAAATTGCATCTTTTTTATAGATACTATTTTTTTTCTTTAACGATGTTTTGCAAAAAGAAATTTACATCAGGCTTTTAAAAAAGTGTGGTTTCAACTGTGTTAGATAAGAATAAACAACCGAATAAGAAAGAACTAACTTTTTTCTTAAACTATGTAAACTCAAAATTTTCGTAGCACAAAATCTTCCTAAAAAGTGAGCTAGTTGTATAATGCGACTATGCTAGTGATTTATTGCCTCATGCATTTACGTTAGTTAAGTGATAATAGTTTTAGCCTCTTAGGAAAACTGTCTTCATTTTACTAGTGTGTTGACATCAAAAGATCATTGATTTTAAGCACAGGTACAAGGAACCAAATAAAATCTTATATTTTGGCAAAGAAGCGCTTACTTATCTTCAGGTTTCAGAACCTGCAATTTTTTCTAATAAAAAAAGCTAAACGTGTACATTGTATTTGAGTACAGATAATTTACTGGAATTTTCGTGAAGTTACACCCATACACTAGAGGCGCTGGCTGGGCTGGTGAGGGGTAGAGTAGGAATTCCTCATCCGAGAACGCCGCATAGCGACCCTTCTTGGCAGTTGGCGCCAGATCCTAGCGCTGCCTCACGGAGATCGATCCAACTGCAGAGCACCTGAAGAGAAGCACGCTCTTCTTTCAATGGCGACCAAATGACACAGACACCCGACTGCCGGATATGCGGCACATGCTGTGAGGTGAGTACTTTTCTCCTCTCATTTCTCCAATCTCTGAACTGTCCAACTCTTCGAGTGGGTTCGAGAAAGGAGGAAGGGGTTCTTGGCTGTCACAATTCCAGCGTGGAACGTGCGCGTCAGACAGATATGCAGGACAAGTGCTAAGAGAAGGATGTAAACTAAATTACGCGAAGGGCGATCGATTATAAATCCCACAAAATCCGTGATCACCGAGATGAGATGAAGCTGATTTTATCGCCTTCCAAAAAGTCAAATCTCTGCCACTCAAATAATCAATCACAAACTTCAGATTTTCTCGACAGATCGCTATATAGAGATGCACGGAATATCAAAGACTGGTTGATATTTAACCAAGACAATCTCCTTTATATTCGCCAATTCTTCTCAAATGTTTATCTTAAAAGCAGTTGCTTATAGAGAAAAGCAATAGTTTGTTTTAAAAAACGACTGAGGGAAAAAAGTAAGCGATATTTAAAAAAAATATCTATACTTATTTCAAATATCGTTTTCATCTCAGAGATAAAGATCAAAAGATTCGATGCTGCAACGCCCCCTCAATTTAGGTAAATAATTTATTATTCGATAGAGGAAAATGCTGTGATTGCTTTTCTAAATCGGAAGGGACAATTTGACAATGAAGTGTCGTTACCTTAAACTTAACTCTGTGCCGAAATTCAAAAACCTTTAACAGATTTTGAACATAAAACAGTGTTATTTATTAAAAAACAACAACCGAAATTCATCAATCATGTATGAAACATTTGTAAGAATTTAAATTCCTTGTTTGATCTTTTACTGGACCTACAATATCAACATATCTGTCATACTATCTGCAAGTGATATTTACTTTGCTGAGTTCTTATTTATACGTAGAATAAAAGTTATAAAATTTTAGAATTATGTAAAATCAGTATTTGTTAACATTAATTATTATTTTTCCAACTGAATTAAACTAACGCATTTAAAAAACTCAGAAGAATAACGATAGGCAATATATTAGAAATACATTATTATGCTAAAGACAGCATCTGACATTGGCAATATTATCACATCAAAATTATAATTTCTTGCAGTTAAACAGCTCATCAAACGTGCGAATAGAAAATTTTGTAATATAAAATACCATCATTCTCAAAAATAATAAAAGAAATTAAAATTTATTGCTTATTAGTTAATGTAGACAGACACAAGTAACAAATATTTGTCATTACAAAGAACCATTTTCGTCTGAAATGCAATATTATTATCAATGAGATACATGGGTAAACTGAATTATAATATACTTATTCTATTATAAAGTTTGGAGTAAATAATACAATGCGACAATACTTAAATATATCCCGTAATTCGTATAATTATAATCGTTTTATCATTAACAATGCTTCTCTGATATTAAGCTGCTATTATATTTAACAAGCTAGAAATATGCTTCACTACATACTTTTTAAAACTGCAAATTTCTAGTAAGTACTATAGAATAATGTCATATAATTAATAGTTTATGAATATCTAAAATTTGCAATATTTTTTTTACAGTGACCCTTCTTTCTTTAAAGAATTAGAAATAATTAAATCATAATAAACTAAAATTGTCTTATTCCTTCTTTTCTCGTTTGGTTGTTAAAATTTTATATTATGTTTATTATTCCTTTGTTTTAAATCAAGTTGTTTATATGACAACAAGGGATTTTTGTTATGAAAACAATTAATTATTCAGATTACCATTTTATTATCATTGACCATGTTTACAAATTCACGGAAATTTATAACAGTTTTACTATATTATACTAATTTACATCAGCATAGTTATAGAATATAATAATCTACATTATTACGTTTAATAAACTTTCTGATAACTCTATATTTTTCTTTAATGCATTATTATGATTATTGAAATTCGCGTTCTCATCATGTTTCAGGTTACTAAGTTGCGTGATTTTAGCAAATAATTTTCTTAAAATCTAAGAGGAATTATTAAATTTCATTGTAAAGTTTCGTGGTGAATCCTTGCATTACTAGAGCTCGGGTAATTGTATAAAATTCGTTGCTTTAATCTCATACGTTTCTAACTTAATAAATTAATTTTTAAAAAATTATATTTTATATATTTATTTATTGCGCATTTACTTAAATTCAGCACTGTATTTTTCCTGTTCTTTAACTAAAATGGCTGTGTTATAGAGCTTATAAAAATCATTCATGAATTAATAAGCTCTTTGCACAGATATAAGCTAATAAATTTTAAGTAAAAATTATCGAGTTGAAGAAAAATAAATCATTTAACACCACGAAATGTATTGCTAAACTCTTTTTAACAAATGTGAATTAATTGCATTCAAATTTCAAATATTAACTAGCTGAGAAAACCTAAGCAGTAACTAAAAATGTAAAATTGTAACTTATACCACTAATAGCAGACTATAATTATAACTATTATCTATAGGTCATTGTTAATTATGCATCAATTAAGTTAATTATGTAAGTATTAATACTTACATATCAAGTAATTAACACATTACAGTTTCAGAGAAAGAAAGTATGCTCAATATTCCACTGTTATATTGTGGCTCGATATATCACTGTGTCGGATATCATCGAGTATTGTATGCACATAACGTAGTTTCGGAGTAATGTGTTTAGTAACCGAGTAATAATTTTTAAGTACGCATTAAACAAACAATGTACGTCTACAGCTTGCAAATCATGTGATTTTCGTTTGCATTACATATAAGATTAAGCAATTGCACATGTAATTTTTGTGTAATATATATTATATTTATGGCCTTTTTATTTTGTTTACTTTTTATTTACAGCAAAAATAAAAATTATTTTTAAAATTAAATATATATACATGCGTAAGTTGTGTTATATTATACAAATATTCCATCTTTTTAATTTTTAAATCCTTAACTTTGAATTATAATGTAAGTGTCTGTATAAAAAGGATATAATTTATAATTTTAAGCAATCTTAGCCGTCCCTCTTTGCAGTGCTATAGCGGAGCAGCACTGCATTTCTTATTTAGCGTAAGCAGAATTAAATGAAAAATGTAAATAATTATTTCTTAGAGATAAAGAGATTTATATTTTCGTGATGCTAATGAGCAAAGGAATTGAAACGTAGAAAGTACTTTTTTAATAAATTAATTTCTTTTTAACTTCTGTCATTGGTTGCCCATATTCAGGCAAACACATATGAGGAACATTATAAATAATTACTTCTTAGTCAAGTGATGCTGTATACTGTTAAGTTCTGGTACCAGTGGTGATCGAATGGTTTTTACTTGATGGAAAAGACACCAGGCATTAAATAAAATGAATGGATAAGAATTTAATTCTTAAAAGAAGAAATAGAATTACATTTTTAGAAGTACTAAAAGAAAAGAAGTACTTATAAAGAAAGGAATAAGGAAAGAAAATTATTTATTATTTTTGAAATTACTTCTTATATATATACGTCGTCTATATTATACATATATCTATAACATAAGTCTTAGGAAACTACATATATAAAAGTAGTAACTGCGGGTGAGTGGTAGGCGGAAGTGAAGATACAGAAAAGGGCGTGGCCACCGCCATCTTGGAAGCACGTGACAACCGGATATGACGTCGCTATCTTGGATTTTTCCGGAAGTGATGTATTCGTGTTTGAAGAACATCATGCATGATAGTTTTTATTTTTTGGTGCAACGACAATATTTTTTCAAAGTTTTATTTTGTGGCAATTCTGATTTTTTCTTTTTTGGGGGCACTGACCTCTTGAACAATGTCCTTGGGATGACATCAATTTTAATTAATTTTCCTTTCTTAATTTATGTCATTATCTTTAATGACATACATTACAAAAGTGTGTAGCTATGTGTCATTATCTTTAATTCTTTAATCTGTCATTATCTGTATGTGATACTATTATTTATTTTAATAACAACGCGTTTTTCATGAAATTTAAAAAGCTGGATTTGAAATTGCCACCTTTCGCATAGGAGACGCGCCCGATACCACAAAGCTACGGAATTGTTCCTTCAACCATGTTATTTGACCTTATTTGAGTAACGAAAACAATCATGATGTTAATAAGCTGAAGGACTGTACATGCGGAAGCCTTTTCCAACGTGTCCGATCCATTTCACAACTTTGTGCATCCGGCGATGACGAACAATCATATTTTTAAAGCCCATTCACCATCTCGCTAACAAAATGCTTTCTATTTCAACCAGTCAGGATGTTTGGTTCTTGAAACTGGACATAGATTTATTTTAGCTTCCTAAACCCTTAATTTAAATTTATTATTTGCCGTTTTAAAAGTATATGTTTCCTTTTCACTCTTACAAAACCGAACTTATTAATTTTTTTTTCCACGTTTATACTTTTTGCAAGAGTAAATCTTACTTTTAAAATTCACAAATTAATATTTATTCCTACAAAAGTAAATTTATTTTTTACATTTCTTTTCACTTTTTTTGCTTCCTTGTACGAAGTAAAAAGGAAGTATTGTAATCGCGCAAAATTTCTGGTATCATATTTAAACGAAAATATCCATTTTGAACGCTATCGAATGCAATGTAACGATGTTTTTTCGTCACATCTGTACGCAAGGACAGAATAAAGGACTCCTTTCCCTCTAAAAAATTATAAAACTAATTTTAAATGAATTCTGAAGAGAAATTTTCTTCGCGTCTGTGCGTACGTACGTATGTACGTATCTCGCATAACTCAAAAACAAGTAGCCCGAGAACGTTGAAATTTTATATATAGGATTGCTATAGCATGTAGATGTGCACCTCGTATTTTAGTTGCAATCGGCCGCACCAAAAGTATATAAATATATGTATATATATATATATATATATCCACTCCACTCTGTTACTCGGCTCAGTGATCTTAGTTTGTTTAGTCTTATATGCTTTTAAATTATACATTTCTTGCTTTTACAATGATTGAATTATGTTGTTCTTATCTTCCGCTTAAGGTTTTTATGCCTTTAGTAAATCTGCGTGCAAT